ACTTCCTAGCATTGTTGTTTTAGGCATTTTTCACTTCCTAACTCTAGTGACAACCCAACAAAACTCTATACCCATTCATCATTCTAAAAGTGATTCTAGACACCTTGGTTCCCATAAACTAGCAGTCCCAGTGGTTCGACTTAGCCGACCAATAGCTCAATTTTACAATGATTTGTGCTATTGCAAAGGTTAATGTATAATTGACAACCGATCATTTTTTGGCGCCGTTGCCAGGGACTGCAAACGGTTTTGCAACCGAGGTTTTAGGATTACCTTTGGTTTGATTGTTAATATTGTGTCTTGTGAATATTTTCTTGTGTGGTTTTGATCATTATGCATTTTAAGTGTTTGTGAGACTCTAGGTATTCAAGGTTTGCTGAAGAAAGCTAGTAAATTTGTATGTCTAGACGACTTCAGGTAAGTTTTCGAAGCTCTAGTTTCAAAGTTGTGAATATCTTGCATGTGTTTAGTTTAGATATAGTTAATTGTGAAGCCCTTGTTGAGGCTATTTATTGTTCTTTTCAATTGCAAAGCATCGGTCCTTATCGTGGCCATTTACATTTCTGTCTTGATAATTGAGGAGAAAGGGATCATCGTATGTGGAGTTGATCGTTTTATTGACTGTGCTATGTGTTGTTGATGTTTGGCCGTAGATCACTTTCCTTATCGACTCTTGATTCGCCAATTGACATAAATTCACTTGAAAGGACTCTTAGAAGAAACCTTAGGGAATCTGCTAATATAAGAGGAATTGAACTTGAATTTAACACAATGGCAGGTAATGAAGAAAATTTGGGGAATGAGGGAATTAATAATGATAGATCTAAAATTCCAAATGTGGTTCCCATGACTCTTAGGGACCACTTCATCCCTACAACCTATGCCTCTCCCTCTTGCATAGTGATGCCAAATATCGAGGCCGCTCAATATGAAATTAAATCTAGCACAATTCAGATGCTCCTATCTTTCCATGGCTTTGATAATGAGGATCCCTATAAGCACCTTGATGAATTCCTTGAAATTTGCTCTACCATCAAAATGAGAGGTTTTCCTGAGAATGCACTCCATCTGTGTCTATTTCCATTCTCCTTGAAAGATAAGTCAAAGTATTGGTTAAACTCCCTTGTCGCAAACTCCATCACTTCATGGGCCCAATTACAACAAGAATTTCTAAATAAATACTATCCGGTGAGTAAAACCAATCAAATAAGGCACTCCATTCTTAGCTTTTCTCAAATTGATGGAGAACAACTCCATGAAACTTGGGAAAGGTTACAAGATCTTCTTAGGAAATGCCCACACCATCTAATTCCAAAATGGCAATTACTGCAAGCCTTCTATGATGGTTTAACCGAACCACATAGACTCATGGTTGACTCTTCTTGTGGAGGGATGTCCATGTCTAAGAATGCGGATGAGGCTTGGACCTTGAGAATTTGAGTGAAAATTCACTACAACATACTTCTCGTAGGGCTCCGACCTCCACCATTGCAAAGAACACCAATCCTTGTCAACCAAAAACAATGAGGGAAGAATCTTCTCAAGTGGATGCCATAGCCCACAAATTTTATCAATTGATGGCGCCACATCTCTCCCCCTCTTTGTCTCAAAATTCGGCAAGTGCGGTTTGCGCATCATGTACTAGTCCTTTCCATCTCTCGGAAGATTGCCCCACACCAGAGCAATTTTCCAATCCCAATCAAAAGCAAGCAAATGCCATGTTCTCAAGGCCCGGAAATAATCCATATTCCAATACTTACAATCTAGGATGGAGAGATCATCCGAATTTTTTGTGGAGGCAACAAGCCCCACAAAATTCACAATTTCAAAATCAAGGGCAGCAAAATCAGCCCTCTTCTCAATTTCAAAATAGGCCTCGTCAAGCTACCGTCCCCCTTATAATCCAAATGTCTCTAATCAACCTCCTGTGTTCCCAACGGATGAGATTATGGCTGCAAATAAGCAAATGATGGAATCTCTAAATAAGCAAATGATGGAATCCAACAAGCAACTCTTGTCATCTTTGCAGCCCACTCTCCAAATGATTCATTCTCACACTCAGTCTATTGCTAAACTTGAGAATCAAGTGGGGCAAATAGCTACTTCAATGAACCAGCTCCTTCAAAGAGATAAAGGGAAGCTTCCCGCTCAACCATTTGAGATTCCTATAGGGATTCATGTGATTGACGAAACCCCTCCTCCGAGTTGGCCAACTCATGAACAAGTCTAAGCAATCACCACCCTTAGGAGTGGTCGAGTTGTTGACAACAAGGTTGATGGAAACAAGGATGACAAAAATTCTCTTTCAAAAAATCCAAATCCTAGCTCCTCTAATCCAAAAGTCACTCCACAAAATCTAAATTCTAGCACTAATGAAAATCCCAAACTTGTCAACCCAAATGTGGAGACGTCTTATGAGCCAAAGGCTCTGTTTCCTCAACGACTCCAAGAGTCGACACATTTTAGGAACAAGAATTGCAAAATTCAAGACATGTGGGAAGTTTTCAAACAAGTAAAGATCAACTTGCCTCTCTTGGATGCTATAAAGCAAATCCCTCCCTATGCAAAATTTCTCAAGGATTTGTGCACTCAAAAGCGCACTTCTAAAAATCATTTGCCAAAAAAGGTGAGATTAACTGAAAATGTGAGTGCAATCATTCAACACAATGCTCCTCCAAAGTATAAGGATCCGGGCGCCCCAACTATCTCGTGTGTCATTGGCAACAACAAGATAAAAAGGGCCCTCTTTGACTTAAGAGCTAGTGTAAATTTGATTCCATATTCAGTTTACTTACAGCTTGGGTTGGGACATCTAAAGCCAACCTCCGTGGTCTTACAGCTTGCCGATAGATCGGTCAAGCACCCACGAGGCATTCTTAAGGATGTCATTATCAAAGTGGACAAATTCTACTTCCCGGTAGACTTTGTGGTTCTTGACACGGAACCGGTCCATGACCCAAAGAAGCATATTCCCGTGATCCTCAGTAGGCCATTTTTAGCTACGGCTAACGCTTCAATTAATTGCCGAACCGGGGTGATGGATATCGCCTTTGGAAATATGCAAGTCAAACTCCACATATTCCATGTGACGCAACATCCTTCCGAAGAGGATGATTGTTTCCTCATCGATATAGTAGATGAAGTGGTCGAAGAATCTCTCCCCTTCATTCTAAGCAAAGATCCTTTGGAAACTTGCATGTCTCACTTTGACTTCTCAAACTTTGATATTGACCAATCAATCCAAGAAGTTAACTCTTTTCTTGACATTAATGCTATCCTGAATTGTCCTTCTTGGAAGGTGCCAAAAGAACCACTTCCTCAGCTTTCCACTACTCCTCTGGTCCCTTCCTTGAAATCTCCACCACAACTTGAGTTAAAGCTGCTCCCGGCCCACCTTAAGTATGTGTTTCTTGGTGCGAGTAAAACTCTTCCAGTCATCATTGCTTCTGACCTTTTAAAGGATCAAGAAACTAGCCTTTAAGCGGTGTTATAAGAGCACAAAGAAGCTATTGGCTGGGCAGTGGCTGATTTGAAAGGAATCAACCCTTCTATTTGTATGCATCGCACCCATATGGAGGATAACGCTAAACCTTCTAGAGAGGTGCAGCGCAGGTTGAATCCCAACATGAAGGAAGTGGTCATGAAAGAAGTGATCAAACTTTTGGATGCGGGAATCATCTACCCCATCTCTGATAGCAAGTGGGTGAGTCCCACTCAAGTTGTTCCCAAGAAATCCAGCCTCACCGTCATTGAAAATTCTGCGGGAGAGCTCGTGCCACAACGCACCACCACCGGGTGGCGTGTGTGCATTGACTACCGGAAACTTAACTCTACGACTAGGAAGGATCATTTTCCACTTCCATTCATTGATCAAATCCTAGAGAGGTTAGCCGGCCAAAGCTTCTATTATTTTCTTGATGGTTATTCCGGCTATAACCAAGTGGCAATTGATCCACAAAATCAAGAGAAGACCACATTCACATGCCCCTTCGAAGCCTTTGCTTATAAACGCATGCCTTTTGGGCTATGCAATGCACCGGCCACGTTCCAAATATGCATGATGTCCATATTTTCGGATATGGTTGAAAAATTCTTAGAGGTGTTCATGGACGATTTTTCCGTATTTGGATCCTCCTTTGACTTATGTCTCCACAATCTATCTCTTGTACTTCAAAGGTGCAAGGAAACAAATCTCATTCTAAGTTGGGAGAAAAGTCACTTTATAGTCCAAGAAGGCATTGTTTTAGGACATGTCATTTCAAAAAGGGGGATTGAGGTTGACAAAGCCAAAGTTGAGTTAATCTCTAACCTCCCTCCTCCAAACTTGGTCCATCAAATCCGTTCCTTCCTTGGACATGCCGGTTTCTATCGTCACTTCATCAAAGATTTTAGCAAAATCTCTCAGCCCTTGTCTAATCTTCTTGCCAAGGACGTTCCGTTCAATTTTGATGAAGCTTGTATGGAAGCTTTCGTGAAACTTCGCACTCAATTGGTCTCTTCCATTCCAGATTATGTGTGATGCATCCGATTATGCATTGGGTGCGGTTCTGGGCCAGCATGTAGATAAGCTTCCGCATGCTATCTATTATGCTAGCAAGACTCTCTCCGATGCTCAGTTAAATTACACCACCACTGAAAAAGAATTGCTAGCTGTGATGTATGCCTTGGATAAATTCCGTTCCTATCTTCTTGGATCCAAGGTCATTGTCTTTTCGGATCATGCCGCTCTTAGGCATTTGCTCGCGAAAAAAGAGACCAAACCCCACCTAATTTGATGGATACTCTTACTTCAAGAGTTTCACATTGAGATCTGGGATAAGAAGGGGGCAGACAATGTTATTGCAGACCATCTCTCTTGTCTACTTATTGAGAAATCCTCTGAATTTGCTGTAATTTGAGATTCCTTTCCGGATGAGCAACTATTTCAGATTTCCCATTCAAATCTCCCATGGTTTGCGAATATTGTCAACTACCTAGCGGTAGGCAAAATTCCCTCCAATTGGTCAAAACAAGAGAAAGACCGGTTCTTCTCCCAAGTTAAGCATTTCTTTTGGGAAGATCCGGAATTGTTCAAGTATTGGCCGGATCAAATCATCCGGAGATGCGTTCCCGACAATGAAACCACAAGTGTCTTAAATTTCTGCCACACTCTTGCTTGTGGGGAACACTTTAGTGCCAAAAAGACCGCTGACAAAGTCCTTCAAAGTGGATTTTATTGGCCATCCTTGTTTCGGGATGCTTACAATTTCTATAAATCTTGTGAGCGTTGTCAAAAGCTCAAATCCATATCTAGGAGAGACATGATGCCCCTCACTCCCATCCTAATTATTAAAATTTTTGATGTGTGGGGGATCGACTTCATGGGACCATTTCCATCTTCTTATGGCTATAAGTATATCCTTGTAGCGGTGGATTATGTTTCTAAGTGGGTTGAAGCCGAGGCTACCAAACCCAATGATCATAAAGTTGTGATCAAATTCATTCAATCCAATATGTTTAGTTATTTTGGTACACCCCGAGCAATCATCAGTGACGGTGGATCTCATTTCCGAAATCGTTATTTTAAATCCGTCCTCTCCAAGTACTCCATCATTCATAAAGTTGCCACACCTTACCATCCTCAAACGAGTGGTCAAATGGAAGTATCTAATAGGGAGATTAAGCATATCTTGGAAAAAACGGTTCGACCGGACCGCAAAGATTAGTCATTGAGACTAAACGATGTGCTTTAGGCTTACCGGACAGCTTATAAGACACCAATTGGCATGTCACCATATCGACTTGTCTTTGGCAAAGCCTTTCATCTTCCAGTCGAACTAGAGCACCGTGCTTATTGGGCCATAAAAAGGCTCAACTTTGATCTCAAACAAGCCGGCTCTACTCGCAAATTATAGCTCAATGAGCTTGAGGAACTTCGCAATGATGCGTATGAAAGTGCCAAAATCTATAAGGCAAAGACTAAAACTTTTCATGACAAATACATTGTCAAAAAGTCTTTTGCCCCTGGACAAAAAGTTTGGCTTTTCAATTCTAGATTGTGACTCTTTCCCGGCAAACTCCGTTCATGGTAGGATGGTCCATATGTCATCACATCCATCTTTCCTCATGGTGCAGTCGAACTCCAAGATCCCATCGATGGATCTCTCTCTACGGTTAATGGCCAATGGCTTAAGCCTTATGTTGATGGCTTAGTCCCAATCTGAAAAGTTGAGAAAGTCCTATTAACGGACCCAATTTATGAGGACTAATGCGCCATGCAAAGCCTAGTTCATCTAGCTATTGATATTAAATTTAGCCTTCTTGGGAAACAATTCTTTCAACTTCCAAGCTTCCCTCTTCTAAAAATCCCTGAGCCGTGAATTTTTCAAAAATTCGCTAAGGAAAGCCAAGCATTTGAACTCCTTTATTAGGCTTTCTTAGGCATTCTGCGACTCTCGCTCCGATAGTTTTCGAGCTCACTCTGGCAATTTTCTCGAACTTTAGACTTGGCACTCTTGCAAATGACCTTCTATTTTCGATGCGACGGTCTTTCGAGGTCTCCTAGGTTCATAAGAGCACTTAAGTTCTGCATTGGCAAACTCTCTGACCCCGTTACCAATTCTGTTCAGCAAAGATTGAAAATCAAGTACTCATGGGGTTTAGAAAAGTTGTGCAAGGCAAGAACGAGCGCTCGTAATTACCTCTTCGAGCGCTCGTAAGTCCCACAATACTCACTGCCGAGTTTTCGAGTGCTCGTAACCTCATCAACAAGCGCTCGTTAACCCAATTCTACTCACTGCCGCATTTCGAGTGCTCATCCAGGAAGACGAGCGCTCATGCATTGAAGTCATTGCCTTCTCGTCTATCTCAGTGTAATCACGAGCGCTCGTGATGTCGTCTTCGAGCGCTCGTTGTTTCCGCAAAACTCACTGTGCCATTTTCGAGCGCTCGTGCATTGAAGCTCCATTTTCCATACCCTACTGTCCTGTTTACGAGCGTTCGTGCTTGTCTCTTCGAGCGCTCGTGCTGTTCCCCATCCCTTAAAACCGACCCTCTCTCTCCCACTTATTCATATTCCCAAATTCATTCCTCCTTCCCCCACGACCCCCCCTTGCATGCACTCTCCATAACTCCCCCAACCCGTCCTCTTCCTCATTCATGCACCCCTCTCCTATAAATACCCAACCCCTTCCACCCTCCCTCCTCATCTCTTTCAAACTTCTCTCCTTCTTCTTCTAAGGTATGTTCTCTTCCTCTCTCGTTCTTTCTTTTTCTTTTCTTCTTACCTTTCATATTGAGGAGTGTGGGCTTTGCCATTTTGGAGGATTGGGTGTTGTTGTTGATGTTACTATTGCTTAGAGTGCATCTTTGTACAAAATTTTTGGGTTTTCTCCTCCATTCATACCCTTCTTACCTTTTCCTCTTATTTGTGCAGACCAGGTGTTCGCTGAAATTCCCCATCCACATCTCCATCTCCAAATGGCTCATGGGGAATCATCTCGCCGTCCTAGCCCTCTACGGATGCTCCTCCTATTGTTCGAGAGCAACCACGGGCTCCTTGGCTCACCAAACAGCTTAACTATGAGCTCCTTTTCCAACTTGAGGGTGTCTTTGCCGCTCTTCCTACGTCCTCTTAGGCTGTCACTAAATTAACCAACCGGAGCCTCCAGGGCAATTGCAAATCGGTTGCCAAGGTTGCCTACCCCCGCGTGGTGCGCCTCTTTACCAAAATCTCACTTACCCAGAAGAGTTGCCCAATACTCTCGCTACCTTAATAGACGGCACTCTCTATTCATTCACTATTGAGGACATTGTGACTGTATCTGGTTGTCCTCTAGAGTGCCCCAATGATCTTTTGGATATTATGGGTTATCCATTGTACGAGCCAAGTGATGATCTGACTGTAGAGCAAGTTGTTGCCGCCATTTGCAATGTTGCTGACCCTCATCGACCCCGCAGTTACACTCTCAAATCCACTCTCCCCAAGCAGGTTTGGTTTCTTGATTCAGTTCTTAAGCATAATGTGTGCCCTTTGGTACACAGCACTGAGCGTCACGGATTGATGTTAAATGCTTTGTATGCCCTGGACCAAGGCTTTTGGATTTCTATTCCGGAGTTTATTTGGAATCAGTTCATGAGGTTTTGGGACGAATGCATAAATTTGAGGCATCAAAGAGCCCAAACCTAGGCTTTACCATTCCCATTTTTCATTACCAAGCTCCTGAAACACAAAGGCTTCATCATTCCTCCCCGTGAAGAGAAGGACAAAAAAGATTCAGGCTTTTTCTATCAAGCGATGGAATAATGTGCTCGGCCATCTCCCACCCAATCCAGCCATTGCTACTCTGCCACCACGAGAACCATCTCCTCCCATCCAAGAGGATGATCCTATAGCCGAAGATTTTGATTGGGAGGAGCCACCTGTTGCACCTCAGCATGATCATGCTTTTATTCGGGCTAGCATTGTTGGTATCCATGCTCGGATGGATAACTTTGAAAGTGCCCTAGCTGACTATAATAGGGCTGTGCAGGAAGATTACCTTGTTGCAGTAGAGGACCGTCTTGTTGCTGCAGAGGACCGTCTTGCTGCGGCGGAGGAGCGTCGGGTGGCTCAAGCCGAGATGAGTGAAACTCGATCCCTCCTCACTACACTCCTTACCCGTCTTCCTCCTGCCCTTAGCTAGCTTGCCCCGTTCTTGTCTCTGTTCTATATTCTGCATTTTATGGTTATTTATATTTCTAGGTTTTTTTTTTTTTTTTTTTGTGTTGTTTTTGTGGATCTTTGGGAAACTACCTTTTGTTCTACCTTGTTAGGTTAGCCATTTTGGTGTTTCATTACCAATAGTAAACATGTCAACCTCATTTTCAATGGAAATTCCTGTTTTTATTTTTCTTCCTAGCTACTTATCTATATTGCATGTTTCATTGTTATTTCTGTCCTTTGTATCTTCTCCCATCTATTTCTCTCAGTGTTCCCTTTGCAGGTTGTACATTCCAAGTTTGGGGGCGTGACTTTTGGACTTCTCATGGTGACTTCTTGTCACAGCGCCACCTATTGTCCTCCACTTGGTATTATTGCTCTTTGTACCTTCTTTTCATTTCCCTTTTCATTCCTTGTCTTCTCCTATTGAGGACAATGTGACATTCAAGTTTGGGGGTGCATTATTGCATTTGTGGTATTACATTTTTGGTTGCATGTTTAATTTGATTCATTTAAGTTAATAAAAATAATTTTTAGGAAGCAATGATCTTGTAATCTTGAAAATTGTTGAAGATTGAAGCATGTGTTTAATACTTTATGTATAGAGACAAATGACAGTTTTTGAAAATAAAGGAAATTCTGAAATGATCATGTTGATTCAAACTGGTTTGTATAAATGCTTCAATTAGATTTTCGTCGGATTTCATACTCTTTTATGCTTCACATTGCACAAATGTGCACCGGAAACTCAATTGTGAGGCATGCAACCTGATTGACCTTGACCTTTACTCAGTTGATTTGATTTGATGACCCTAATGAATAGATATCTTTGGCATGATAACTATCTAACTAAAAAAAAAAAAAAAGATAATGGCCCTAGGAGTGTCTTTACACTTAGCACCCTAAAGCCGTCCGATTTGGGAGTTGCTGGCCTAACACTTGCTACATGGGTTAGTTAGAAAGCTTAAAGGACTTAGGCATTGCACAGTCATTCATAAAAAATAAAAATAAATAAATAAATATGGTTCGTTGGAGTTCGAAGCCTTGCCAATTTAAGTTATTAAGCCCTATGAGTGTTTTTACACTTAGCACCCTATATTGGGAATCCGGTTCACTTTCACTAAAGCTAGAGTTGATTTCTATTTAAGAGATGACAATTGAATTATTTATATAGACTATGATGTTGATGCATGAGAGTTAAAATGTGTTTAGCCATTCTTTGTATCAAGGCTTCATATACACACGGTAGTCTTTATGATGATTCCATCTCCAATATTCTCTATATTCAAGTTATAGTTGAGCTATGCATTTTATTGCACCATAGTTGATATTTTTGGGTAGCATTCCAATGGTTGTCATTTCATTGAGTGCTTCATTTTGGTTTTGCTATGGGACTAGCAAAATGTAAGTATGGGGGTGTGATAAGCACCGAATATTGCATATTCAAGCGCCCTTATTTGCATTAGTTAAGTCCATCAGTGGTTTAATTGTATAGATTATCTCTAATTCCGTGTTTTTGTGTATTTTCAGGTTTGTCTTCCAAAAGGAAATAAAATGGAAGCTTTTGAAAGCTTTTTGAAAAACAAGTCATTCTGGGTTTTTGTATCCGGAGATTTCCAAGAAGAATCTGCTAAAGTAGGTTCATGAAGTTCTTCCACAATGAAAGAGGGGCGAATGATTCTCAATGGCCCAATGCCAAGATCAAAGTACAACAAGGCCAAGGCAGAAGGAAAGAAAAATAGTGTCCAAAGGCATCTACGAACGCTCGCAGCTTTACTTACGAGCGCTCGTCCGGCATCCATGAGCAAATTGGTGCACTACACAATGTCACACGAGCGCTCATAGCACCTACGAGCGCTCCAATTCGAGGCAGAATAGACCAAGGCATCTTCGAGCGCTCCTACGTCATCTTCGAGCACTCCAAATCAAGGCAGTAGGAATCTAAGCACTTACGAGTGCTCGTAGCTCCACTTACGAGCGCTCGTCCATGAAGTCTCGAGTCAAGAAAATTTTCTAAGGTACCTACGAGCGCTCGTGCTGCGACTTACGAGCGCTCGTAGGAACATGGCAGACCCACTTAGTTCCTTGAACCTTTCAATTGGTTTCCCTCTTTTATGGGGTAGTTGGAAATGTTCTTTTGGGGGGTAGTAGCCTCAGTTTTTGAGGGGTTTGGTAGACATCTTGTCTACAAAAGAAGAGGTGGAGCTTGTATGAAGTGGATCACACATTTTGCAAGATTTCTAAAGAGAGAAATATTAGAAGATATTGGTTTTATGTGGCTAGAAGGGCTGAGCTCGAAAATGGAAGAAGTCTCAAAGCTTCCTCCTTCCTCTAGTGCATCCATGGGTAACTAAACCTTCATCTAGGGAGGTGATGAAGCCCCCTCCCTTATAAGCATGTTCTAGATTAATTTCTATTTTGGGGATAATAATGTATAATTTTGGTCTTTTCATGACCTAGAGCTTCTTATTTATTGTAATCGATTCTAATGTCTATAAATGGTTATTTTAAGTTAATTGTCTTGTCTTAGATGATTTCTTTTAGTAACCATATTGCTTGTATTTTCATAGTGACAATGAAAATAAGTTTGTGGAATGGTTTTAATGGCATGTTGATTGAGAGCCTTGATAGTCCATTGCTTAGGTAATCCCTTTGATGGTTTATGCTTGATTCCTAACTTCATGTGCTTTATCATTTGATTAAAGGCTTGATGATCTTTTACTTAAGAGAGTATACTTGATACTACACCCTAGTTTAGGTAGTTCAATTATATGAACTTTGGATAGATCATTCTTGTTTTTTATTTAATGAACTTCTTGACGATTATATGGCAATAATATGTTGCTATATAATTCTTGACCATTATATATATTGTCTATCCCCAATTTGGTTTTTGTCTAGCATGTGTATAGGGTTGAAGGTGGATTCACTTCCCTAGTCCCTTCTTTATTGTCTCTATCTCTTTACTTCCCAGCATTGTTGTTTTAGGCATTTTTCACTTCCTAATTCTAATGACAACCCAACAAAACTCTATACCCCTTCATCATTCTAAAAGTGATTCTAGACACCTTGGTTGCTATAAACTAGCAGTCCCAGTGGTTCGACTTAGCCAACCAATAGCTCTATTTTACAATGATTTGTGCTATTGCAAAGGTTGATGTATAATTGACTATCGATCAAACATCGGGCAGAGGATAATGGAGTGCTCTTCGTTCCGTTCCGACTAACGGAACAGCCATGACCAACTTCATAACTGCTGTCGATGAGACGCTACATTCTAGAGCTCTCCGCCACGATTCTGCCGCCGCCGACGACGTCCATGGTTCGGCTGTGAGCTTCTCGGAGCTCAGCTTTGATGGGGCAACTGCAGCGGCAACAAAAGTAGAAAACTAAACCCAAAGAAGAGAGAGAAAAAGTCTCTTTCTCTCCGTCTCTTCACTCATCTGTGCGCTTGCAAATTAAATAAAAAAATAATTTTTTACTACACCTGTCAACAATTGATTGGTGTAGTCAACCAACTCAGCAAAATGAGATGGTGGACTTGGTTCATACAATAATTTCTCGGTATGTAGGGGTGCTCTTGGAGAAATTATTGTATGAACCAGGTCCACCATCCCATTTTGCTAATTTGGTGGACTACACCAATCAATTGTTGACAGGTGTAATAAAAATTATTTTTTTATTTAATTTGCCAGCCACACAGATAAGTGAAGAGACGGAGAGAAATAAACTTTTTCTCTCTCTTCTTTGGGTTTTGTTGCCACTGCCGTCGCTTTATCAAAGCCGAGCTCCAAGAAGCTCACAGCCGAACCACCATGGTCGTCGTCAAACAAAATCACAAACAATATACATTAGAAACGAATGATGAGTAAGCTCAAAAATTATCCCCAAACTTTGAAGGAAGAAACTGTAACCTACACACGTTTACATACGTGTATATATATAAAGAGGGAGGGAGAGAGGGACAGGTCTTTTGCTAGCATCCTGGATTTGATTTCATAAGCAAAATCTGAAAATCAAAGTCCATTAGCACATAAAGAAGATAAAACAAACAAACAAAATTTGATTGAGCCAACACCACTCCGAGTCACAGCCGCCATCGCCGGCAAGCCTTCTGTAATGACCCGGCCGATTTCCTTCCTTTCCTTTTCTCAAATTTTCACGGATATTTTTTTCCGTTGATCTTTTCCTTTTTGAGTTCAGTTTCTCGTCACTTAGTGTCATCTTGAGTGCTCGGGGATGGTTTCCGAGACTCTTTTCCTTAGATTGACGACTTCCTTTGAGGACCAAGTCATTTTCATATTTTCACTTTTGTGACACTATTCACTTTCGTCTTTTTCTCGGTTGTTACTTTGTTGGCATAACCTCACCTTTTGTGTTCAGATTCGATTCCGGTTTTGCATGCATCCACGATATTTAAATTCCATACTATGTGTATTTACACTTTTGTAGAAAAGCATGCTAAGTGCTTACTTTTCTTGTAAAGGGTATAGATGTATGACCATTTTGTAATTTTCCAAACTTTAGGGGTTTTGTGTAATTACTGTAAAGTAATTATTTTTCGTCTTAGGGACCATTTTGCAATTTAATTTGGATGATATTTTCAAAAAGGATTTTTTTGCAATTTTTAGAAAGTGTGACAAGTGTCACACTCTCATTGGTCCACTTGTTGACATGTGTGTGGAAATACTTTAAGGCCTTGGATGAGGACATGTGGAGGGTGGAGATTTAACCACTTGTTGGCCTAGGATTGGTGCACTTGTTGGCTTGGATGGTTGACAAGTGTAAGCTTGAGATTTAACCTAGGATGGAGCCTTGGATTTGTGACAAGTGTAGGCTCACAATTTGATCTTGCATTAGTGTGTGTGTGAGAGGTAGTGTAAGAGCACATAGTGAGTGGAGGATCTCTATCCCCTCCACTCACATTTCATCTTTATCATTTTTCATTTCCTCCCTCTTTTGTAAAGAAAACCCTAGCCTCCA